AAGTAACAAAGGCAATCATAAAATGCTATGGGAATAGAGGGAAACAGGTCCGTGACGTAGGAAGTGATGAAGGAAGTAGTGAAGGCGATCAGTCCGGAGTGTGGGGAATGTTTATGACGATAAGATTAGGGTATCTGCAATCCTAAAATGCTATGGGAAGGAAGGAAAACAGGTCCGCGACGTAGGAAGTGGTGAAGGAAGTAGTCAAGGCGAGTAATCCGTAGTGTGGGAACTTTTTATGACGATTAGATTAAGGTGTCCGCAATCTTAAAATGCTATGGAAAGGAAGGAAAACAGGTCCGCGACATAGGAAGTGGTGAAGGAAGTAGTCAAGGCGAGCTGTCCTGGGTGTGGGAACTGTTTATGACGATTAGATAAGGGTATGGGCAATCCTAAAATGTTATGGGAAGGGAGGGAAACAGGTCCGCGACGTAGGAAGTGGTGAAGGAAGTAGTCAAGGCGAGCTGTCCGGAGTGTGAGAACTGTTTATGGCGATTAGATTAAGGTATTTGCAATCCTAAAATGCAATGGGAAGGGAGGGAAACAGGTCCGCGACGTAGGAAGTGGTGAAGGAAGTAGTCAAGGCGAGTAGTCCGGAGTGTGGGAATTGTTTATGATGATTAGATTAAAGTATTTGCAATCCTAAAATGCTATGGAAAGGGAGGGAAACAGGTCCGCGACGTAGGAAGTGGTGAAGGAAGTAGTCAAGGCGAGTAGTCCGGAGTGTGGGAACTGTTTATGACGATTAGATTAAGGTATTTGCAATCTTTAAATGCAATGGGAATGGAGGGAAACAGGTCCATGACGTAGGAAATGGTGGTGAAGGCGAGCCGTGTGGAGTTTGGGAATGGATTTATGCATCTCCAATACTAAGGTGCTTTCAGAGTGAACTAATGATTTTCCCCGAGCAAAGCTCGGTCCCCAGGTACTACTCTAATACGTGCAAAGTTTGCTTGTATGTATGTATGCTTGCACCAAGATATCGAAAACGGCTCCGACGATTTTCTTCAAATGTTGTATATAGTTTATTTCTGGCCTAAAAACGAGTTTACTGCAGTTAGAACTGCCAACAAAAATCTAATTACGTAGAAAAATGAAACTGAAAATCACATTTTTTTTACATTAGTCTTATGGGTTGCTAGGTAACCATGTTGGCTGAATTAAATAACAAGGAAAAAGTAAACAAAAGACTTTTAATTTGCCTATCCACAGTATACTAGCAAAACAAAATACAGTACAAAAGGAAAAACATCAGTTGTTACTATTGAGCAAAGATTATACTGAAGATTACTCGATTCTATAGTCAAGGGTAGCAGTGTGAAGTGTGGGATCTGTTTATGACGATTAAATTACGGTATCTGCAATCCTTAAATGCTATGGAAAGGGAGAAAAACAGGTCCACGACATAGGAAGTGGTGAAGGAAGTAGTAAAGGCGAGCAGTCTGGAGTGTGGGATCTGTTTATGACGATTAAATTAAGGTATCTGCAATCCTAAAATGTAATGGGAAGGGAGGAAAATAGGTCCATGACGTAGGAAATGGGGAAGGAAGTTGTAAGGCTAGCAGTGCAGAATGTGGGAACCGTCTGTGGCATTTATGTATCTGCAATTCTAAAATAGTATAAGGAAGGAGGGCAAACAGGTCTACGACATAAAGAGTGGTGAAGGAAGTAGTAAGGGTGAGCAGTCTGGAGTGTGGAAACTGTTTATGACGATTAGATGAAGGAATCTGCAATCCTAAAATCCTATGGGAAGGGATGGAAAGAGGTCCGCGACGTAGGAAGTGGTAAAGGAAGTAGTAAAGGCGAGCAGTCTGGAGTGTGAAAACTGTTTATGACGATTAGATTAAGGAATCTGCAATCCTTAAATGCTATGGGAAGGGAGGGAAACAGGTTCACGACGTAGGAAGTGGTGAAGGAAGTAGTAAGGTAAAGGAAGGAGTAAGGTGAGCAGTCCGGAGTGTGGGAACTGTTAATAACGATTAGATCAAGTTATCTACAATCCTAAAATGCTATGGGAAGGGAGGGAATCAGGTCCGCGACGTAGGAAGTGGTGAAGGAAGTAGTAAAGGTGAGCAGTCCGGAGTGTGGGAAATGTTTATGACGATTAGATTAAGGTATCTACAATCCTAAAATGCTATGGGAATGGAGGGAATAACAGGTCTGCGACGTAGGAAGAGGTGAAGGAAGTAGTAAAGGCAAGCAGCCCGGAGTGTTGGAACTGTTAATGACGATTAGATTAGGGTATCTGCAATCCTAAAATGCCATTGGAAGGGAGAGAAACAGGTCTGCGACGTAGGAAGAGGTGAAGGAAGTAGTAAAGGCAAGCAGCCCGGAGTGTTGGAACTGTTAATGACGATTAGATTAAGGTATCTACAATCCTAAAATGCTACGAGAAGGGAGGAAAACAGGTCCATGACGTAGGAAATGGTGTAGGAAGTAGTAATGCTAGCAGTGCAGAGTGTGGGAACTGTCTGTGGCATTTATGTATCTGCAATTCTAAAATGGTATAGGGAAGGAGGGCAAACAGGTCCACGACGTAGGGAGTGGTGAAGTAAGTAGTGAAGGTGAGCAGTATGGAGATTGGGAGTGGATTAATGTATCTGCAATACTTTTCAGAGTAAACTAATAATTTTCCCCGAGCAAGGCTCGGTCCCCAGGTACTAAAAATAATTCTAAATTCCATATCTTATTATTGAGAATAAGTGACTGTTGTATTTTGATTGCTTATGAACCCAAACTTGGCATATATATTTTTTATTTTATACTAAGCTATGAGTATGTTACTAAAAAACCACTTTATTACCTTCCCTCTAGCAGCAAACCTAGGTACTATTTATACCTTATGTTATTTAAATAGGGAATAAATCCATCCTGTTTAAGGATATGATTTAGTGAATAATATGATAATATCCAAAAGTAAACGTAAATTTGCTCAGTTTACAGGTTTGCTGCGGCCGGAGTACTTTTTCTTTTATTTTCACCGTATTTATTAAGTTTAGTTTATGAACCTTTGATTTGGATTTTCAGCTCTAAAGAGGATTTAAAGAAGAAGTACAATGTGTTACGTGGATTCAAAAATGGAAATAACAATATTTTTAAATTATAAATCTCCGTTCTGATGGTCCTATTATGACGTTTCAATACTGCATGGTTTACTTCATACACCACAGATAATTCACATTGGAACTCAATCGACGCTCGTTTGTCGTCATCGTTCACACGAGTTGTGTTTTAGTGTGTCTGAAAATCTGTGTCTGTGCTACAAACTGAGACATGCCACGCAGAACACGCATTTAGATGCAGAGAGCACAGCTGGTGAGTTGTCAAGATGGCTGAAAGTACCTACTACTCCGAGTCCGACAAGGGAATTGAGGAATTGGTTCATCTATATTGTGTTTCGTGCTTGCACCCAAGTTGTGTCGCATGCGTCGAAAACTGTGACAACCAGCCCACGCATGTGTCAGGCACATACACGCGTGCGTCTCAGCTTACGCGGCGCCGTAAGATAACATGGTGGCACAGTTTTCTGCCTTGTGCTGCGTTGCGTGCGTTGCGCCGCGTGCGTCTCAGCATACGCGCGGCCTAATTGACGTCAAACGGCACCTGAGAATAATCTTCCGTGTGCCGTTTTGCAATTCACGTATATGATCAAAGCCCAATAACGTGCAACTAGGAACTAGTGTTGTTCGAATTTTAAGGAACAAATCTACTATTATTGTCCTCTGTGCTTTGTCTAAACCACAAGTCGTCTGCTTTCTGCAATTTACAAGAATTAAAAAATGCAATTTTCAAAAGAAGTTATTTTTAGTAGGTTAGGTTTAGTAGGTTTTTATCATGTCATGTTATAGCTATAGAATTTGTGGAGTTTTTTTATGATACTGCATTTTTCTCAAGGGTTAATTGGTACACAGTTGACATTTTATTAAAACAATTTATTGCTGACACAGTAAATTTATGTTAATCCCCAAAGTGACCTCGATACATTTAATATAAACCAGGCTGTACGTCATTTCAAATTACTGTATGTAAATTAGTAAATTTGACTTTGTTTGTTTTTGACAGGCACGGAGGTAGCTGAATTTTTATTTCAGGATTAGTGTTGCCTACAGTATTATTTTGAGGCTTCTGATTAGCTGAGGGAACATCATTACCGCGACGATACGGTTGATGTCAACGGCCTCGGTGGTGTAGTGGATAGAGTGCTAGGCTGATGATCCGAAGGACCCAGCTGAATTTTTATTTCAGGATTAGTGTTGCCTACAGTATTATTTTGAGGCTTCTGATTGGCTGAGGGAACATCATTACCGCGACGATACGGTTGATGTCCACTTCCACCATGGTTGATGTCAACGGCCTCGGTTGTGTAGTGGATAGAGTGCTAGGCTGATGATCCGAAGGACCCGGGTTCGAATCCCACCCATAGCACAATTGTTTTGTACTGGATTTTTTTCATTATCAACAAGTTTGGTTGGTTTGGTTAGGTTATGACGGTTTAATTTAAAATTAAAACATTATGAAATTGAATTTGACCCATTTATAGTTTTATTTTATGAACAGAAATATTTTTTTCGGTTAAACCTTCATTTGAATTTTCATTGTTAGCAAGTCTGGTTAGTTTGGCTAGGTTAAGATAGTTAAATTTTATAATAAAAAACTATAAAATAGGATTTGAGGTATTTAATAATTTTATTTTATAAACAACAATTTTTCGATTAATAAACCTTCATTAGATTTTTTTCATTGTCAGCACGTTTGGTTGGTTTGGTTAGGTTATGACGGCTTAATTTTATAATAAAAAAATATAAAATTGAATTTGAGGCATTTACAATTTTATTCTATGAACAAAAATAATTTTTCAATTACTAAACCTTCGTTATTCGTTATAGTCGATCAGAAGCCTCTAAATGACACTGTTGGCAAAATTAATCCTGAAAAACAAATTGTGCACGGAGGTAGGCCTACGAACACTTCTGTACTGTAGCCGTTTTTGAGTTTTGTCATTTTGTCTAATTGTCTAAAGTCTATCTAGCCAGCCCTGATCAGTAGGGAGTAGGAGTAGGATAGGCAGCCAGGCCTAATCAACGATGTAAAGTTTATTTCGTTGGGCCTAAGTTCTAAGTTGCTCTGTTATTGATTTGTTTGTTATGACAGTACTGCCAAGTCATTGACACAAAATGTACCAGGCTGTTCACGGCCTTGATGCATTGCTTTCAATAGTGAAACCTGTTGGAGTTGGTAAACTTTCACTTCGCCCTAGAGGCCCAGCTCAGTGTTCCTGGATCTCTACTTCCGCCCATCATTTCAAGAAAATGGTGAGTTTGTTTACATCATACTGTAATTAGACTTTGAATAGGCTATCTTTATAAAACATCATCAAAATATTACCTCATGAATCTTTGTTAGTTAACTTACGTTTTTTACTAAAATAATGCAATTTTGTGTGTTTATAAGTAAAACTTAGGCCTAAGTTAAGTCATGATTATCTAATTCCAGCCTTGCATGTATTTTCAGCCTGTCTATGCTTCTGCTTTTGTACCATTATTTATTTGCATGATGTGTTAGTTTAGGTATCCTTGTACACTAAGGCCTAACCGCACACGAGAGACTTTTTGTCGGCCGACTGTTGGCCGTCTGTTTGGCTGGAGTCGGGTGGACAATCGAAAAGTCGTCAAGACTGTTTGGTCGTTGACTTATGGTGCGCACACGCCACGACTGTTTAGTCGTCTTTCGAGTGTCAAAAGGATGTATGACAGAAACCGCTGTCATAAATGCGTTACTGCCATATGTGCGTAGATTTCGTGCAAGAAAACTTAAGAGAAAATACTGGGTGCATCCAATTTATAGTCCGAGAACCTTGAAAGGCCAGATTTACCTCTACACTCGGATTTGAGAAAATATCCGGACAAATTTGTCATGTACTCATGAATGAGTGTTGATTTTTTTTACCAATTGTTAATACCCCGGCTTCAAATACCTCATCCCATAACTTTTAGGGAATAAGCTGTAAATGTAGGTCTCATGGTGAGACCTGGTCCCGGGACCGATTTACCATTCGTTTTGATGTCCTCAGATGCCAAAAACACCATCCGTTCAAATTTACACACACACACACACATATATATATGTGTATAATGTCCTATTATATTAGCACGATAACTCGGAAACAAAATTACTATCCGATTTTGATGAAATTTGGTACAAACGTGTAAACCTACATGTATTTTATTCTAAGGAGCTCGCAAACCAGCATGATCGGACTATGGTAACGGGGGATATGGGGGGTTTTATCGGGTAAAAATGGGGTTTTCCCATTTTTTACGATAATATCAAAAGATTCCGCAATTTCTTTAGGAAACATTTTGCAGAGCTTAAAAAACAAATAATTTAGCATGCTAATTGTTATCATAATGGTTACAGGGAAATTCCAAAATATTTAAAGTTAAAATTTTAATGTCTTTTATAAAATGTAGAACAAGTACCTAGGTAAACTGTTGTAGTTTGCTTGTTTATGGATGTATTTTGATAAAACTTGGCAAATCTATTTATTTTATATTCAGCTATTGTTTTACTAAAACACACCCTGAATACCTTCCCTGTAGTAGCAAACCTAGGTAGGTACTCGTTTATCCTAATTTTATTGAAATAGATTAAATAAAAAATTAAATCAGGCAAATGAGAATTCACTTAGTCTGCAGGTTTGCTGCAGCGGGGGTATTTTTTATTATGACCAAATACTCCTTTAAAGTCTTTTTATACAGAGAGGACCGTGCCTCAACTTCATTAATAAGTTTATCAACTTTCTCGTCCCTCAAAACACTTGCACTGGTGGTTGTCGAAGCCATAATGATAACAATAACACACAAATAATAATACTAATCATAATAACAATAATAATACACATAATAACAACACACTCGACTGTCAGACAGATTTTTTAGTCGTCAGTGTGCGCGTTCAAACTTATCTCCATGCCTTTATGTATACGACACGACAGTTGAGTCGGGGAGCAGTCGGCGGGAAAATCGGTCAGCACCAAAATGCCCCGACTGTCTTGCTGGGGTCGGCCCGTGTGCGCGATTAGATTTATGGGGCCGACTTTGACTCCCGACTACGACTAAATAGTCGGCCGACAAAAAGTCTCTCGTGTGCGGTAGGCCTAATTGTTTACCATTACTATTAAAATAGTTGCCTGAACTTGACTTGTGCCTCTACCAGCATGTATGTATATATAATTTGACTGTGTCTCATGCATTTATATAATGTCTATAGACGAATAAATAGGGTACCATTTCATCATTTCATTTCATAGAATTAGGCCTGTAATGGATGGCATTAATTATATTCCTTGAATTGTGTAGGACTATCTGGTTCACCGATTAAGTTATACAGTACTGTCATTGATGGTTTATTTAAAAATGGCAAGAGCTCTATGTTTTACAGGAGCTAGGGTCTTAACACCGAGGCTTTAAGTTAATCCAATTCTGAGATCTGTTCAAGCCAATCCTGGGATTAACTATTTTGTGATTTTAAATTTATTGTCATTTTAACTGTGGAGTCTGCTTGTTGAGATCTCTAATTTAATGTTGTTGTTGATAACTTTACTTAAAGTAACACAGTTTTCATAAAACTAATTTAATATTGTACTGTAATATCATAAAAGTGTCTTCATCACAATAAAGACAAAACAGAATCAAAACATAAATAAACAACAAAATCAATACAATTAAAGAACATATGTTATTTAACGTATGAACATTACCAACATCTTCCTTTTTCCAAAATGTTTTTAAGTTCTTAAAAATTGTCTATTTCGAATGTAGTCTTTTCCTTCCACGCGCACAATGTACTTTCTCCTCCCTTCCTTTTGAACAACTTTACCCTCAAGCCATTACGCATTCTTCAGTTGGGGTTGTTTCTTTAACCACACGCTTTGGCCAATCGATAATGGAGGCAGCTCTGTGGTTCCATGGTCATACTGACTTTTGTACTGTCTCTTTTTACGTTCCCATAGATTCTGAACATTTTGTGGAACTTGTGGCTTCAGTAAGCTCTTATTTATTGGCAGTTTGCTTTGTGTTCTTCGGTTCATGAGGAGTTGAGCGGGGCTAAAAACAATTCCTTGCAATGGGGTGTTCCTAAGTTCTAATAACGCTTGTTGGAAGTCCACTCCATCTTGACGCGATTTCTTCAAAAGATTCTTGAAAACTTTTACTGCCGACTCTGCTTTACCGTTTGCTTGGTGATGGTACGGTGGGGATAGAACTATCTTAAAATTCCAATTTTTGGCAAAATCGTGAAAACTTTGAGCCATGAGGGGCGTTCCACTGTCTGAAACAACCACCTCTGGTATTCCATACCTTGCAAACAGTTCTTTGCAAAATGTTATCAGGGTTTCACTTGTGCATTTTGTTACCTTTTTCACTTCAAAAAATGACGAAAAATAGTCACAGACAATCAAATAGTGAATCGAACCTTCCTGGGCAAAATCAATAGCTACTTTTTGCCAGGGTCTCTCCGGAGTTTTCTCAAGTATCAAAGGTTCTCTTTGTTGGTCTGGTGCATACATTTTGCATATCTTGCAGGAACTTATATAATTTTTTATGTCTCTACTCAAACAGGGCCAGAAAAACACATCTCGTGCACGTCTGATACATGCATCTGATCACTGATGAGAGGAATGTATTATTTGAATTAATTCTTTTCGTAATGAAACTGGAATCACAATTCTTTCTCCTTTGAGAACGATCCCATCCTCTACACTTAGTTCATCACGAAATGGCCAATATTGTCTGAGATCCTCGGATAGTTGCTTGCTACTTATAGGCCACCCATTGTAAATCGTGTTAATTAGTCTTTACATAGTTGGATCTGATTTGTTGATATTCTTAATCTGGTCTAGTCTTTCGTCTGTCACGTTTAAGTACATTCTTGAACTGGAGTTTTCAAAACACTTTAGACTGTCTGTTGAAAAGATTTTAATACTTTTATCTTCATGTGATTTATCTCCTGTAATGGGTGTTCGAGACAAAAAGTCTGCGATGAACATTGTTCTTCCTGGTCTATATATTATAGCCTATTGAAATTAAATCTTTGCAGTCTGAGAAGCATTCGCTGCAACCGCTTTGGGACCGAATTCAATGGTTTTTTGAAGATGGTATCTAATGGTTTATGATCAGTTTCAACTGTTATATCATGTTTTCCAAACAAGTACTGTTAAAATCGTTCAAGAGCATAAACTACTGCCAAGCATTCTTTTTCAATTTGTGCATATGACGATTCTGCCTTACTAAGAGTCCTGGAAATGTATGCCACTGGCGAGTGTAGGAGTTTTGCCAACGGGTATCAGGTAGAAAGGGTCCCCATCCGTGAATTCCTCATACTGCGGAGTTTTGCCATCGGTTGTGGGTTGCGCGAGAGGGGGAGGGGAGAGAGAGAGATTACACGTGACCGTGAGGGTGGCTTCCGCTAGGGGTGGACAAACCAGGCAGGATGCTGACTGTGTTCAAAGTAATGCAGTTATGCACCTCTGACTGTGAAAGGAAATGTATTGAATTTTTAACCTAACCTAACCTTACCTAACCCACTGCGACAAGCGCATAACTGTTAAGCGTAGACAACCCTGACAATCACTCTTCCTCCCTCCCTCACACTCTTTCTCCCACCACCACCGTTGGCAAATCTCCGCACCAAGAGGTGGCCGACTGCATCCCCCCATCTACCTGACACCCGTTGGCAAAACTCCGGTTCCCGCCACTGGCTTACCATCTTGCATCAGGGAAGCTCCCAATCCAAATTGGCTAGCATCACACTGCACAGTTGCTGGCTTTTGTACCTATGTCAAAGTATTTTAAGGTTGGAGATGATGTTACCAAATGGACTAGCTTTTTAAATGTTTCATCATGAGTTTTTTCCCATATCCACAAATTACCTTCCTTCAACAGTGATCGTAATGGAGCTGATACATCTAAAAGTTTAGGAACAAAATTTCCCAAATAATTCACGAATCCTAGAAATCGTTGCAGTTCTTCTTTGTTTTGTGGTGCTTTCATATTTCTTATTGTTGAAATCTTTTTGGGGTCAGGCTTCAATCCATCTGCACTGACTACATGACCCATATATTTAATTTCCTTCATACCAATCATACATTTTGATAAGTTAAACTTAACATTTTTCTCATGAGCCCTTTGAAGTAGTGATTTTAAATTATTGTTATGGTCAATGCGAGCTTCTTCTTCAGTATCTCCACTGCCAAACACAACAACATCATCTGCTATTACTATGACCCCTTCCAGATCTTCAAACTGTTCATTCA